TTGAGCCCAGGAGTTGGAGGTTGCTGTGAGCAGTGAAGCCATAGCACTCTACCCAGGGGGACAGCTTGAGGCTCTGTCTCAAAAAAAAAAGAAAAAATGAGCCTAATGTGATGGCTGGAGCCTGTAATCCCAGCACTTTGGGAGACCTCTGAAGCAGGAGGACTACTTGAGGCCAGGAGTTTGAGACCAGCCTAGGGCAACATAGTAAGACCCTGTCTCTATAAAAAATTTTAAAAATTGTGGTGGCATGTACCCATAATCCTAGCTATTCAGGAAGCTGAGGCAGGATCGCATAATCCCAGGAATTCAAGGTTACAGTGAGCTGTGATTGTACCCTTGTACACCAGCCTGGGTGGCAGAGTGAGACACTGTAACAATGCTTTTTATAAAAATATGATTGTTCTAATCATACTATTTTATAACCCACTTTTCTTTACTTTATTTATTCATTTACTTTTTTAGAGATGGAGTCTCACTTTGTCACCCTCAGTAGAGTGCCGTGGCGTCACAACTCATAGCAACCTCCAACTCTTGGGCTAAGGTGATTCTCTTGCCTCAGCCTCCCAAGTAACTAAGACTACAGGCACCTGCCACAATACCTGGCTATTTTTTTGTTGCAGTTTGGCCAGGGCTGGGTTTGAACCTACCACCCTCAGTATATGGGACCGCATGCCCTACTCACTGAGCCTCAGGTGCCACCCGATAACATACTTTTCAATTTAATTTAAGATAAACATGTTTTCAACTCACTAGAAATCTAGTGTATCAAATGTGAACTTATGGAAGAGGAGGAAATCAGTGAATCATGGCCTGTTCCTCCTCTTCTTTTTTTTTTTTTTTGCCGTTTTTGGCCAGGGCAAGGTTTGAACCCATCACCTCTGGTATATGGTAGGGCTGGTGCCCTACTTCTTCGAGCCTCCTCTTAATATTGCATTAAAGTGAGATTTTTAGTGACTTCACATACAAGATTCCTGCAACAAGTAAGTGTGCCTGCAACGTGCCAGGCACTGAGTTCTGGGGTACAGTGGAGAGCAAGGCAGGCCTGGTTCCTTCCATTACTTTTGCGTTTCTTCCTTTTGTTTAAGGGAGGCTTGTGTTGGTAACTAGATTTCATCTAGAACTCTGGACTTTCCCGGCTACAGGTTCAAGTGCTGGGGCTGGCAGTGGAGAGTTCCATGTGTATAGGCATCTGCGCAGGAGAGAATACCAGCGCCAGGACTACATGGATGCCATGGCTGAGAAGGTCAGTGAGCTGAGAGGCTGGCTGAGCGCTCTTTGGACAGTGTGAATTTTTAGTCTTTAGAGAAAAGTGTTTGAGGAAGAGTAGAAACAACTGATCAGAGCTTGTATGAGAGCTGCCCTTCTATAGTTAGAATGGAAAGCAGAGTCCAGGTGACCCCTGGGTCAGCGTCAGGACAGCAGAATGGATACACTAGATTAGGGATGAGGGCTGGGAGTCTTCCATGTTTATTGCAGGGCCCAGCAGAATCCCCTCTCCCGGCTAGGGTATTTGCTGTGTAACAAACAGCAAGCAGGGTCTCCCACTCTATGAGTTGTTACTTCTCTATTCTCTTTTTGCCTGAATACAGTTAGCTATGTGTTTGCTATGAATAGTAGTGTGCTTTCATTGTGTCTCCTTTGAGAATCTGGGTTTTCTAACTTTGAGGCCGGTATTTTTCATGACAGATGTAAAATAATAGAAGAGCTTGAGAATTGCTTAAGAAATTGTACCTTGGCTCGGCGCCTGTGGCTCAAGTGGCTAAGGCACCAGCCACATACACCTAAGGTGGCAGGTTAGAATCCAGCCTGGGCCCACCAAACAACAATGACGGCTGCAACCAAAAAATAGCGGGGTGTTGTGGCTGGCGCCTGTGGTCCCAGCTACTTGGGAGGCAGAGGCAGGAGACTCGCTTGAGCCCAGGAGTTGGAGGTTGCTGTGAGCTGCGATGCCATGGCACTCTACCCAGGGGGACAGCTTGAGGCTCTGTCTCAGAAGGGAAAAAAAAAAAAAAAGGAAAAGAAAAGAAATTGTACCATAAGAGCTGTTAAGCTTTCTCTTAACTTGGCCAAGGAGCCAGAAACATCTTTCCTGATCTGTTTCAAAGTGCCCGTGGGGCATTTTACTTTATTTTTCTAATCGAAGTTTGTAGCTATTTAATCCCCACGAGAAATCTTACTTGATCTTTGGTTAGATGAGTTGAATCTATAATTTACCTTGAATGAGAATGGATGTTATGATGTTTATCCATCTCATCTAGAAAATTTGTATATTTTTTCATTCATATAAAGCTTTTTGTATTTCTCAATGATTTATAGAGGTTTTGACTTTCTCTTTTCACATTTATTCAAAGGTATTTTAAGTTTCTTGATGGCAGTGGTGCTAGGTGACCCATTATATTTTTTAACGTACTATTAATGAGAGTCAAAAGAAAATATAGGGTGGCGCCTGTGGCTCAGAGGAGTAGAGTGCTGGCCCCATATGCCAGAGGTGGCGGGTTCAAACGCAGTCCTGGCCAAAAACCACAAAATTTAAAAGAAAATATATTGACTTTTGTATGGTGCTCCTGTATTTGCCTATCTTACTGTTAATAAAAGTTAAATATTTGGCTGATTCTTTTTGATTTCCCAAATATATATCTGACTTATTTCAGTACTACATGAGGGATTGCTCTTTGTTACTAATTTTAGAATGTGCACCTGAAAAGTCCTTTTCTTCAGGCTTGGCACCCCTACCTAGCTCAGTGGTTACGGCTCCAGCCACATACACCAGAGCTGGCAGGTTCAAGCCAGCCTGGGCCTCCTAAACAATAATGACAACAACAACAACAACAAAAATAGCTGGGCATTTTGGCAGGTGCCTGTAGTCCCTGCTGTTGGGAGGCTGAGGTAAGAAAATGGCTTGAGCCCAAGAGTTTGAGGTTGCTGTGAGGTGTGACACCCGGCACTCTACCAAGGGTGACATAATGACACTCTGTCTCAAAAAATAAACCCCCCCCCAAAAAAAAACCTTTTCTTCAGTGTAGCCATGGGGTCTGTTATTTCATAGAACACATTTGTACACTTAAAAGAGATTCAGATACTTCAAAAGGATACTTATTAGACAGAGCATGGGGCTCATGCTTGAAATCCTAACACTCTGGGAGCCTGAAGCAGGTGGATTGCTTGAGCTCAGGAGTTTGAGACCAGCTTAAGAAAGAGCAAGATCTTGTCTCTACTAAAAATAGAAAAACTAGACTTGGCACCTGTAGCTTAGCAGTTAGGGCACTACCCATATATTGGGGCTGGCAGGTTTGAACCCAGGCTGGGCCTCCTAAACAACAATGACAACAACAACAGAAAAATAGCTGGGTGAGGTGGCAAGGACAGCCTGAGGCAAAAGAATTGCTTAAGCCCAAGAGTTGGCAGTTGCTGTGAGCTGTGATGCCGCGGCACTCTACCAAGGGCAACATAGACTTTGTCTCAAAAAAAAAAAAAACATTTAGAAAAACTAAACAGGTGTGATAGTGCATGCCTATAGTCCCAGCTACTCAGGAGGCTGAGGCAAGAGAATCACTTGAGCCCAAGAGTTTGAGGTTTCTGGAAGCTATGACACCATGGCACTCTGAGTGAGACTCTGTCTTTAAAAAAAACAAACCAAGCCTATTTGTCTTCCTTTTTTGAGACAGAGTCTCATTCTGTCATCTTTGGTAGAGTGCTATTGCATCACAGCTCACAGACACAGTCTCAGACTGTGAGGCTGAAGCAGTCCTTTTGCTGCAGCATTCTAAGATTACAGGAGCCTCAGCTTCACGCCTGTAGCTTAATGGCTAGGATGCCAGCCACATACACCAGAGCTGGCAGGTTTGAACCCAGCCCGGGCCTGCCAAACAATAGTGACAGTTATAACAACAACAACAAAAAAAAATAGCCGGGCATTGTGGCAGGTGCCTTTAGTCCCAGCTACTTGGGAGGCTGAGGCAAGAGAATCGCTTAAGCCCAAGGGTTTGAGGTTGCTGTGAGCTGTGACGCCACTGGCACTCTACCAAGGGCGATGTAGTGAGACTCTGTCTCAAAAAAAAAAAAAAAAAAAAAAAAAAAAACCGGAAAAGCCGGTCCTATTAATTGACTTAAAAAAAAAAACATAAACAAATATTAAGCCTTATTTAATGATATGCATGCTGAATTGTTTAAGAATGGAATGTCCTGATGCCTGCAACTTTGAAATACATGGGGAAAAAAGATGGATTGATAGATAAATAGAGGTATAGATAGGTGTGTAATAAAGTATAGCAAAATGATAATTGTTGAATCAAGGTTATGGGTATATGTATCACATTCTTTTAACTTTTCAAAATAAAATTTTATTAGAGAAAATACTAAACCAAAGAGACACCCAAGATACAGAAGAAAATATATTAGAATTTGTTGGTTTGGCCAAAACTGGGTCATTACTATGCCAGTATTCACCTAATATTTGCTTGTCCTACAACCTTTCTTGGTGCCTAGATGTTGGTTGGTCTTCCCTAACTACTGCCATCTCCTGGTGGTAATGTTCTCAATTCTAGTGGGAAGTTTCGGTGGCTTGTGACACAGCTGTGTCACTGTAGTGGGTTTGCCACTGTCAGAAATAATGCTCTGTGTATAGAAATCATCAGGAAACACTTTTTTTAAAAAACTACTTTAGAGGAGAGGAAATTGAGCAGGTTGTTGTCACAAGCACCATAAATTAGAGTCAAGTTTTTATATAATGACTCACTATCCAGAGAAAATACAGAAAATTGTTTCACAAACCTTGGCAGACATTTAAATGTGGAGAGGCAAGGAACCCTCATCCTTTTGCAGTGACTGATAAGGGATCGTCACTGCTGGTGGGTTACTCCTGCTTGAGACCCCTCTGCCAGATGGCAGCAGCCAACTGGGGCTCTCTGTTTATCCTTGTTTTGTTCACTTACTGCTGAATTCAGCTTCTTTAGCACAATAAGGCATTTATGGCTTAGTTTCTAATCAAACCAAGTGCTTTTAGATTTAATTCATTTGCTTTCTACTTGTCTTCTAATTAAGGCTTGGTTTTCTTCTTGAAGGGATATTTTTTGGCCTTGGAGAAGGGGATTCTGATGTTGGTTTCTCTGCCTCTCTAATTCAATCCATACAGCTTTGGCAGTGCAGCCCATGTGGAGACACGCCTTCTTCCTTTGCCGGCTCCTGTTTACCCCATTGACTTTTATGGCTTTAACTACAAGAAATGACAAATGACACTCTGTAGCCGTAGATGTCTGTGTAGTTTATGGGCCCCGTTCTGTAAATTATCTTGCTTCATTTTTCCTCTGGGAGAGAGGAGTTAACCATTTATCCCATTTTATAGATGGGGAAACAGGCCTAGAAACAGAACCTCTGAGAAGAAGTTATACAATACATATGTGTGTTTGTGTTTAGTAGCAGGTATTGCCCATGGATGGTGCATGTTATCTTGTAACTGCAGCTAGGGTTAGGGCTTCAAAATTACACAGTTCTGGCCCTCTCATCATTCTGTATGATGATCTACATATGTCAGTGTCCCAGGCCTTGGCCAAACAATCAGAACTATCTCTGCCCTCAAGGAATCCTTTGTGTTTCCTCCCTCACATTTCTCTTTTATATTTTATCGTAAGTGAGTGGTATCTCAGTGAACTGGAAGAATTACTTTCCATCAGCCATACACTGAGTGACCTTGGAGATCTGGGTGGTTCCTGTAGTGCCCCCAATGATGTGACTTCTAGAGCCATCATACCTAGCCCAAATGAAACCTTTTAAAGTCCACCCAGATCAGAATTTTTTTTTTTT